ATATATATATATATCTGTAGGAGCAACTCAAAAGCACCAATCTTCTTACGACCTCACAACCTCACCCGATCGTAATGGAGATGGTCCACGCATCTCCGAAAGTCATAATGATACTACAAGCAATGTTCACGGTAGGTTAACTGCGGAACGGAACCACCTAAACCTCGACCGTTACAAAGCGCCCACAAATACTTCCGTCCTAGCAATAAGAGGGTAAAAAATAACTTTGCTGCACGCACCGATTCTGGCAGAATCGGAGAAAACTAGCGGACGGTGACCAGCCCTAGTCCGACCGGACTCTCAAATGGCCCAGAACGACCATAAACCTATCAAATGGTCACTTTGACGCCCGTCAATCGCTTCTACGTGAATTCACAAGGAATCAAAAGCGAACACGCTGAGCTGGTCAACCGATGCGAACATACCCCGTGGGATTTCACTGCTATAACAGAAGTCTTGTTTACACCTGGCGTGCGGCAAGATAGTCAACAAACGTATGGGTCGTTCTTTACGTCCACAACAGTTTGAAATATGACTTCATCAACCGTCCATATATTCTAATCGAGGACACTCTGTGACCTCTTGCTTAATGGCCACAAAATCTGTCTGTAAGTCGTGTCGTTCCCCAGTTAACTCGAACATTCAAGATGACAGTGTGGTTTTCGCCAACTCAATGCTGGGCATCGCGGACAGTGTCATTCGCTCACAATCGGAGGCTGCATCATCCAGCCACTCCTAACTTCCTCGTCTTATGGTCTGGTTCAGATGCTGGATCTACTCCACTCCACTTTCAAACATGGTCACGCACGTTTAAAGGGCCCAATGCTCCATCAATTCTCGGTCTCTTACAAAATAAATGCCGTCAGCTACCAGGCGCCACTAGGTCATATTATCCTCGTCTTTCAGCACGTGACATATACAACTAGGCAGAACTCTACTACACATTCGTATCAAAACAAACCTCCCTGCACTAAGGGAGCCAGTACAATCCCATAATTGTTGCGAACAGCCAGTGCGACCTGGGAGAGCTTCGTTTGATGCTTAACACCATTTTTTCCAAACTAACCGTGACCACTCCAATCTACGCGTTGCACAACTGGATGGAGATTGAAATGACGCCACTACATGAAGATCCCATATGACACAAATGCAAAAACAACAAGAATTGCTGAGTCTCTTAAACACTGGTGGTCGCGTCCACTATTGATTAGAAGTGGCTATCCCAGCTCTCACTAAGGTGAAACACTGACTTATTATTCTTAAACCATCCATGTTTCAGCACATACACTGAAGGAGGAACCCAATGTCCTGATAAGGTAGTAAGCATCCGTATTTTCGAGTCCTGGTGCTGCTGCCCTTCCCAACCACGACTCAATCCCAAATGAGGACGGAGTTGACCAGGTGAGCTATCAACCAGCTGCAGTTGAGCATGGGTCAAAGTCTTATGAAAAACGGCCAATGGAATGACGACATAAGCTGCAGAACGTTCATTCCTGGCAGTTGTCTTTGAAAGGCTAATAATTCCAGGAACTTCCCAAAACTTCCGGCGGAAAAATTGGCAGGTACATAATACAACTGTATATAAACGTGATAGAAGATCCAGCCTAGTGAACGACAGACTCACCACCCCCTTTAGTGTCTTGTCCAAAGTTAATGTCGATCAGCGGCGTGCGTACCTTGACAAACGTAACCGGCCTCCATTGGTGCAGCACGGACTCTGCTAGAGGTCTTGCCAAACCAACCGGCTATTTACAACCGTTGTGTGCGCGAAGGATTTTGACGGAAGGACAGATTGACATCAAGTGCCATTATTTATCCAAGGAATTTGACTATATGCATTACGTCATATTGCCACGTACTCCTGAGAATACATGAGGTTGTTACGGTCAACACTTAGACTGTATTGGCTCGTAGCGGATTGACAAGCACCAGAATATCCTAATACTGTATACACTTTACTCGGTTTTATTCAACAGGACACAGCAAGATAGTTATTCCGAAGTCATATGGTGATATTAGTCCTCTGAACACCGCACTTTGTTGAAGACTGTTTTCAATCCACGCGGCTCATGGACATTTAGCTTTATGACTACGTCGATATATCCTACTGTAGTTTTATCAACCACATGTCGTATTCCTCTTTTAGTGACCAGTGCTTTGTAAATGCTCTTTGTTATTTATTCCAGGATCAGCTGCGATATGTGTACCGTCTGTTGGCCCAATGGGTCAAACAAACACTATCTGAACCTCTAGCTGCCTGGACAGCTAAACATTTGGGCGACATGGGAGACATTCCAGACAAGTGTGAATGGCCACAATTGCTTGGTCATTTGCCCTCATACGTGAGAGCCGGAATATTCGCTACCTCTCAGCTCCCTGCCTTGGTGGCAGACCACTCCACCTTGACATTGCGATCAGAGGAAGGGGTCACAACGGCTAACGTTAACAACAGTGTTACGGACGGTGGACCAAATGAACACGTCGCATGTTCATTGTACCATTACTTCCATGACGAACTGCTCAACCAACGGTGCACACGAAGTCTGCACTGGAGTTGCGATACACGACAGACGGCAGATTTGAGTGAGGTTAATAGCTGGTCTATGGGAAGTTTGAACAAGCTTCGTGCATAAATTGTACACATTTGGGACCTATACAACCGAACCTGTCCAGTTCCCTTTCATTCTGAATTTCGTTTTTTTTGCGAAACAGATTGTTTTCCACTTTTCCTGTTCCCGTGTAATAAGATCTAACGATATAAATGTATTATCAATAGTTCAGAACCCTGTGCAACCGGTTCGCTACCATCCAGTGTTCCCTTTACGATCTTCCAGTTATCCATTCTCTTACTGCATAGCAGGTAAACCGGCTATCTAGCATAGCCATTTGCTTTCTATTCCGGTCTTCCAATCATATTCACCTATTTTATGTTTCTCTTTGTTTAGTCGTTCCTCTTATCATACCCCCTGACCGCGGAGTCTATCTAGGTTAGCAGTACTCTAACCACTCTCTGGATAAATTTGTTTTACACAAGGAGCGTTCAAATAATATATTATTCGATTAGATTAACAGTATCCTGTTCAAGTTGCCTGTGGAAGGCAGCTCTAAGTGCCGTCCGTTTTTCAGACAGGTAAGACGAGGTGACGAGCATGATATTGTCATCAATGAGTCTGTGACCATAAGGACGGGGGACTTAATGTGACAAACCGATGACAATCTTTGTATGGAAACCATAAACTTTACATATATGTGATACACTGCTCATAAGGTTGCTGAAAACGCCTCAACAGCCCACGACCGGTGTTGTAGCTTGCTGAACGGTAGTGCAACTCTGTATCGGTACCTTGGCTTCCTGCTCCACCCACTATGGTATAGCAAAAGGCATGGTAGCTCTACACAGCCCTTTATAGAGACAAAGGAAAATCATTACAACTGTATATATATATATATAGGGTAGTCACAGAGTGTTCCACAACATCATCATCATCAGTGCTCAACACCAATGCTTCACTGCCGTACAGCCATGACTTATTTGAAAGCCTTATTGTAAAGAAAAGAATAAAGGTGGATGGGGGAGGGACTTGGTGCTAGCTTAACACAATCATTCCGAGGTGCCTACACCTCCAGACATTCACTCAGGCAATCTGGACAGAAACTGACAACAAGAACGCCACTGACATCGGTTGGCAGCCATATCTTGTAGTGTCTCCAACCAGGCACAGTGAGGGGAAATTTTACAGACGGGTCGGATCGTAATTCCAGTGGTGACACCACTTTGTTCGCGAACATAGTCATAAGCCCACCAAATCCAAAAATACTAGGTTCTCCCGCACCTACCAAATTTTCAGTTTGTTAATTCCTCGTCTTTAGATGCACCAATCCGACTACCTCGAATAGTAGTATCATTCCTGTTTAAGACGCGCCACCCGTCCCTGGGGATGCCCCGATGATATGTGGAACGTGCGTTTTATTTTATTACCACCATCTAGAATTTATCAGCAGTTCCACATATACAACACTTCTCGCCGTGGGTGATCCAGAACCAGGCAGTTCGACCCCGATCCTCAGGTTTTCTTAGCATTCCATGTACTTTACTTTCTAGAACTAACTCTGTAAATTCAAATGCCAGCGTAATTTCCCCGGACATGGCCAACCGCATTCTCAGTGAGCAGATTGCCATGTTTTGATTGAAAGATTTTATAGAGAATTTAGAGAGGATCTACTAGTTACCCCAGAGACTGCATATGAAGCTGGACGCTTTAGTACCCACAGGCAGTTCTCAGACATTCGACGAGCCCCCTCTTCCGCTGTCATCCATGGACGATCTCCGAAGGTATGAAGAACATCTAAGAAATAGTCCATGCTATGCACAGCTGGTAAGTATTACTTTTATTTACGATTATTGATTTCACAAAGGTGGGAAGGTGACTCTTGTAGGAGGCTGGCGATGTACAAGTGTAAGTTACCAACGTGCTTACACGGACGTTGGCACCAAGGCTAGCCGTACTACTCTATTGGCGCGGAATAAATGAAAAAGAAGCCTTCGAGTCAACCAGGCTGGCTCTAGGACTTGTTTATAAGTATTTAATGGTTATGTTATGTTTAGCTAGTTGAATCACTGTGTGGTAATTAAGTTTCGTACGTATATCGGTACAACCCGACAAACTAGAAATCCAGAATTCAACGAAGAGTGGCAACCAGCACGTATGTATTCGAATTGGCGAATATGTACAGCATATGGAATATTAAAACAAGAGAATAAGGAATAGAGCAATGAATAGAGCATCAGTCATGTTCATCACATGAGGCCCTGCAAACGAAATCAGCATCCTCTTATATTCGGAGTTGTGGTGTACCTGGTTGTCGAAGCAACGCTCTGACTTCACAGAACCAGAGAAAAGTGAATACACCCTCATTCATCCTGAATCAGGAGTGACCCCTGAGTGCACCATGCCCTTGACTGCAAAATCCTTGTAAGTGGAAAAGCAATTTCTCGCTAAAATGTTGCATTTTGTTGTGTGTGCTCAGAACAAAAATTATCCTAATCTGCTGCCATTTTTTTGCGATTTGCTCTAAATAGTCTTCTAAGTTGCTGACACGCGTTCGACCTTGAAAGTGTTGTCCCGTGGCCTCAAAGTTGGTTTTTGAAGTGGAGTTTGTTGAGAAATTTGAGGCTGTATGCTTTTCATCATTCATGATGTTTGACCAGGCGTTAAAGGAATAAACGAGGGACAACTATGTGGTACTTTTGCGCTCTTTCAATAATCCAAGAACTGCCGCTGTTTTGCGAAACCAGCGGGTGTACCACAAAGCAGCAGGTGACCTGCAAGACAAACGAAAGGGCGACGAGCTGGTAATCGTAGTGTGTTTTCCAATCACCAAAGGTATGCGAAGCATCGGTCATCCATTGTGGTTTGTTCCAAGGAGACGGAGGAACCGCCTCGCAGTCACCTCTTATCTTGGACGGAACCATCAGGTTTCTAAATTTTTGTACAATCGGCTTTTGGTAAACCAATGGCTAACCTGAGGGGATTTTTGCACCTGCAAGGCCGTAGTATAAAAGCCGTCGTGTGATGTAGCAGTTTGTAGCAAGTTCCTTGCTACTCAAAACATATACAACTACCACCGGAAGTGTTGGCCATCTCTGTTGAGTAGGTGACGTATGGTTGAGTCTTTAGTTGGCAGATTATACGCTATTGGTTTTAGCAAGACCTCGTGAGACCGGACGCTTGCATATACTGCATTCAGTGAGAGGTCACCATAGTCAAGTATGCCTCTCAAGCTTGCAGCGAATGGCGTTGTTTCGATGCCTCTTGGATGTAGTACATTTCGGCAGAACGCACGCGACAAACCGTTTTGGGTACGTTTTTCGAGGCAAGTAACATCCTAACCGCAGACAATCTGTTAACCCCCCTGATCATGCATGAAATGGAGGGCATCCCGTTACGTAGGCTTCCGAAGAAACCTAAAGTTCACCCCCATGGGTAAAGTGTTCGGGTTATTCACGGAATTGACCGACGAAAAGTATCAAGAGTCGAATGCGGGAAGCGCGAGTATTGTTTCCTTACGACGTCACCTCGTGCCACATCCATTTTAGGAAAGCTATCAGGAGGCAATTATGTATAATGAAACATCAATTTTTGGCCACAGACACTTCAACCACCCAGCATATATTCCGCCGTATGACTCGACTGACGATGCTGTATAGTGGGTTTTTGTTGTGTCTTGATGTACGGCAGTGCAACTCTGTATCGGTCCCTTAGCTTCCTGCTCCGCCCACTATGGTACAGCAAAAGGCACGGTGGCTCTACACAGCCCTTTATGGAGACAAAGGAAAATCATTACAACTGTATATATATAGGGTAGTCACAGAGTGTTCCACAAGGTCGTGCCAGAATGTCCGTGAGGGGGCGAGAACCGTCGAGTCAAGGTGCTTGACTCGGATTGGCTGGCATTCTGACCGATCAGGGCATGCCTACGTCTGGCCCGTGTCCTGCACGTGACACATGCGCCCAAATGATGTGATGTTCAGTTATTAGGGACGGCTGGCCCCCGAACAACCGGTTTCGCCCTCCTTGGAGCTCAAAAGCACCATAAACGATAGATTAAGCTGAGTTCCAGGTGAGCCTCCCGTCAAAACCAAATGGGTACGCCAACGAGTGTATTTCCCATAAAATATCCACTTGCTCATAAGTTACTCCCTCATTGGATGAGTTGGTATCATCACTGACTGCTCTCGTTTCATGTCTTCGACTTTTCCCATACAGCTGGGAGGTGAATGTGTTAAGGAACAGTCCTAGGCTCCTGAAATCTTGATTAATGGCTTTCTCCAAAAGTAGGGCATACTGGTGATAAATACTGGCGCTCGGATTCCTTAGAGAAATAAAAAGGAGAAAAGTGACTATGGCTCCAGGGCGGACGGTCATTGATAACGAAGCTATCACTCTGAGTTGGAATAGACAGATTCACCCATGGTGTTGCAGCAACAAAGTGCTACCGGTAAAGCTTGTGATTTTTCAGGGATCTGCACCCGCATTGACCCAGAGGATATTAGCTCTCGTTTGAAGGTGAAAGACATTTTCGCGCTCACACCAACCACCTGGAATTTCGACTACTTGTCATGTTTCGTACGTGGGCGCGCTGACAAATTTCCCAGAGTGGTGACGGGATGTTTGCACATCCAAAATATGCACCGAGGTACCAATAGTTCGCAATATTGCTAATGTTGTACGTATTCAATTTTCGTTTACACCATGCCCACAATTTTACAGGTCGAGGAAACCGACCTCGTTATCACAGCAAACGACAAAAGGCTCGCCAGAACATTACTGGATCTGTACATATAGGGGTATCACCAAGAACCTATTATTTCCACGTACGCGGAAGCTCACGTATAGTAGAGATCGACGGATAGTCGTAGAAGGTTAGCTTCCGGGGCAAGAAACATGAGTCTATGAATTCTCAGATGAACATACAAAGAAATGCAAATGCACTTGTGCAGTTACTTTTTGGCCGGCTGATATCCATCAATCAAAGCGAAGTCAGGTTTTATTGGCCGAAAAGCACGGGGTGATAATTACTATTTCTTGCTCAAGAATGCACTTCAGAACCATCCATTACGACATTCGCGATATCAAAGTACTTTTTCTTAACATAATACTACCTACCAGACTACTGAAAACTGTCCGACAGTCAAATAACGGTTTCGCCGCCAACAGGAACTTAATTTGCAAATGAATGTATTTCGCCATTCGCGTTAAATTTGATGTTCATGTAGGGTTGATGAAAACCTCGAAGCTACGCCTATCATATGAGGTTCTTGGAAAGCAAAACGGTGCTGCGTTGTTAGTGTTTTCAGTCAATTCATAAGTGTGGTGTGGCAAGAAAAAGTGACCAATATCTTTTATCCAAGCCCAACGTATTCTGAGAGCACATTATTCAGTTTTTTTTAACCATTATTTTGAAAAGAACTTGATAGTTTTAAATAGAGACAGCAGTTTTAAAAATCCCATATGATGTAATCCCGGCGTTGATACT